TGCCATTGCCTCCTTCCTAGGGCTGAGAGAGAGTGACTGGCCCAAGGTCACCCAGCTGGCTGTGTGCCTAAGGTGGGACTAGAACTCACAGTCCTTAATCACTACACCACACTGGCTCTCATGCTTTTATGATATATAAAATCAGGCTAATAGACATGTTTTGATAAATGTTTTGACTCCCTACCATGACTGGAAACTGCCAACTGGACAGAAATCTTAACTGGTGGGTATTGGCCCAGGACTAATGTCACTTGCAGTACCAAGGAAGTAAAAGTAGCATCAGTGTGATGATAAGAGCAACTAGTAGTATCAAAAAAGCAAACTCTGCAATGCATTGACCAGCAAAGTCCAGCTTCTGTTGCAAACCTAACTTCAAATCAATGTTCAACTGAGCTATAGGGGGTTAGTTTGAAACCTGGAGTGGTGGTAGATAGGTATGACAATGTTTCCTCTGGGATTGAAAAATGAATTTCAATAACCTTACCTAAAATAAGAATAAAAATATATTCTTACATCCCCATAGGCAGGAAGCTTTAGGAAACAAGAACTACAATATGCTTGTAGTTACTCAAGCACCATGAAGGAAATGAATCCATAATCATTAACATCATATGACTCAAGCTTGTCTCATTAGAACCCATAAATATAATCTTTGCTATCAATGTATTTTTGTGTGAGTGAGCAAACTACCCACATTTTATAGTTTGCTGGAAAGGTCAAATTCATATAATGTGATTTTGAAATAATTCTTGAGTATTGGGTTGCCATTGGGGCAGCAATGTGGCCTAATTTGTTCTTTGTTTCAGAGTGATGAATTTGACAACTTTGCAGATCACATAGTGTTCTTTTCTATCCCATAAGACAATGAAAGGGAAATGTATGGATTTCCAGAGGTTCTCAAGCTGCATCTCCCAGGATCCCTGGTACCGTGAAGAATTGTTCAATCACATTTAAAAGGTTTTTAAAGCATCACTCAAGGTTAGTCTGAAATGATCAGTCTTAGAACACACAATCTGCTCTATTGAAAGAGGGGAAAGACTCTCACTGAGAAGGGAGAGGACAGAGAAGGAATGAAAAAATACTTTAAGTTGGGAAGAGTAGTACCTTTTTAATAGTTCATTGGGTCATGATTGGGGAAGTGCTTTCAGCATTTAATTCACTAATAGCTGCCCATGTCAAGATGCATGTGAAGAAAGTCCCTGCCTATTTCAGAAAGGGCTGTTCCCCATGATAGACTTAAGCCACTTGTCTCTTGTGGGTGGAAATGAAGAGGCTTAAGAAATTGCTGTCCAGACTTCACTTTGTTCAACTCTGGAAATGATAGTGGCTAGGTGTTTTGCCAAATAGCATGACATCCAGTTGGTGGATTTCCTTGCTGTACTCCTCCAACCTGGGCCAGAAAAACAAGTACCAATTCTGGGTCTTTGAGGCCCTGTGGTTTCCATTTGTAGGAGCCTCTTTCTATTGGCTCCCTCTTGTACTTGATACCTTCCTGTCTGGCCCATCTGCCTTTAGAATTGTTGGTGGGAGAAGACACCATAGTTCTATCATTCTTCCAGTCAGTGAGCTAGAAGTTCCACTGCTCTGTTTCAAGTCCAGCCTTTTATCCCAGTGAAACAAAGAAAAAAGAAAGAAACATAGGCTTATTATTGCAATGGTCTACCACTGAAGCAAAAAAAAATACAAAAGCAGAGGTTCATGGTCCATTGTGACAAATCCCTTCAGAAGGAGAGGCCATCTAGGATGAAATGGCCATACAGGCCAGCAACAAGTGACCAGAGGTGACCCCAGTGCACAGGCAATAGCCAACTGGAGAAAAGGCATTTGCCTACAATGAAATGAAGTACAGCAGGCCAACCACATAATATCCCTTGTGCCAATAGAAGTTGGAAAACACTACTTTTGATGCAAAGCAGGAAAAAATGGGCAGGAGTGGCCTTCATGCTGAAGATGTTATGCATTCTTGTCCTTGAGAAACAGTGAGTGGACTGTTCTTGTGCTTGGGCAAGTAGTTATAGAGGAGCCCCTGAACAAAGAAGGTTAAAGAGTGACACACTGTTTAAAAAGGACTTTGATAAGCTGGAGCAAGGCTAGAGAAGAGCTACCAAGGTGGTGAAAGGACTGAAAACCAAATTCTGTTAGGAATGGTTAAAAGACCTAGGTATGTTTAGCTTGCAGAAGAGAAGAGGATAAAGAAATGCTTTATATGAAGCAACTATATCTTAGAGATATAGTCCACAGAAGTGTTTCTCACCCTTGGCAACTTCAAGATAAGTAGACTTCAACTCCCAGAATTCCCCAGCCAGCCATGGGTGGGAAGAAAGGTGATGACTGAGTAAGAGTTGGATTTTAAGGAAAGGATACACAAACTCATAGATGCACTTTGATCAGGTTCACATATTGCACTAAATTACAAGGTAATTCGTGGGCAGGTTACAAGCCATTATGGCTTGTAAACTATAGATTTAGGGCTTAGCATGAATTGTAAACCAAGCCACTTTTGAATTAGAAAAACATAGTGAAATGAAAAGCATCTTAGCATGATGTATGAACCAAGTCTGTATGGCATCTAGATGTAATAGAAAGAACTCAATTCTAATCTGTTGTATTGTTCTATGGGAGCTACTTTGGAGGTACTTTAACGTCAAAAGATAGAATAGAAGTAAATCAATTAAACAAAACCAGCAAAAAGGCTACACCAAGTTGATATTTCTTTTGTCTGAGGAGTGATAACAATAGGAGTATGAAGTGTATACTTTTAAAAACAGATTTAAATAATCTGCCTTCCCAAAATTCAAAAACACCAGATTAGGAAACACTGATACAATTGTGTGTGTGTGTGTGTGTTTTAAAGTCTGTATTGGACTACAATAATAATAAT